TTCAAGCTTATACACATTCAAATTATATCTAAATTGTCGTAAATATACATACATACATACCGTCATGGTGGTGAGTGCTGGGATGCATAGCGCCCTTTGTAGCTGAGTCACGGCATTCGTTCGTACCTCTCTGGCGGGATGGCAGCAGAACTCACACAGTACACACTGAAAAAGCAGTTGCAAGGGCAGGTGTAGAGCATATATGAATGGTGTTTCTGAGTAGATGCGATAGCTGTCGGTGCCTAGGTTGATATGTCATTCAGCAAACATTAGAGAAGTGTGTGAAGAGAGCGTGAGGGTATACGAGTACCTCTGGCGTGCTGCAGATGTAATATTGTAAATGAACGGAAAGATCCACAGCACACAACAGAGTAGGAATTGGCACGCGCGTGGTAGGTATGAGTGCATGTGGTGAGGCACGAATGGCCGGGGTGTGATGTACTTGAAGAGAGCGATGCGACAGAGGAGGGATCAGAGGAGATGTAGTACCATTCACCCAGCAGTCCATGTACAAACGAGTGGACAGGCTGTGGCAAGTAAGGATAGTAACCTATGATCGAGATTGTATGAAACGTGCGAAAGAAGGATATCGTACTGATAAAGGCAAGCGTGGCACCTCGCAATGTGCGTGTGATATGCCTATACCTCTTATGCCTATACCTCTCATGCCTATACCTCTCATGCCTATACCTCTAAGACTAAGACCTCGCACAGTCATCCGTAGATGGCCCACCTGTAGGTACTTACACGAACAGACAGTCGTGTGACGGCTAGCTATCACACACACGCACGCATATGTACATGACATGGCATGCCGATATGCACTCACAAAAAGCCTATCTCCACGTATCATCGTGCGTTTTTACAGGGTTTTTACCAGCAATAATCATGTACATACGACACTCAGCTTCACAGTTCCAGATACGCTCAAGAACAACTCATGAATGTGTCTAACCCTGCGCAGGTGGTACGATAATTCACCCGCACTAGCTTCAAGTGGTAGTATCGCACACTGAGAGGAGTGGGTAACCAGTTCACTTGTCCACTCAGCGATTGGCACTATATAACCGGCACTCGCAGCACAGCACACACACAACGACATTTAATTCAGCACCTGAACACCAAAGTGTAGACAGATAAATACTCAATAAAATCAGAAGGCTTATACAGACGGCTAAACCAGGTAATACTGAACAGATCTAGACCAGGTTTTGCATGAGTCGTATACAGGAGTCATTTGAGCCAGATTATACAAGAGTCATTAGGCTACGCCGGAGTCATTTAACCCATGTTATACAAGAGGCATTTAAACCAGGCTATGCCAGAGTCATTTAAACCATGTTATACAAGAGGTATTTAAACCAGGCTATGTAGGAGTCATATAAACCATGTTATACAAGAGTCATTTAAACCAGGCTATGTAGACATCTAACAGCGTCAGGATACATATACACACCAGAAGCGGCTTCCAGAAGTGATCCCATTCGTTGAGTGAAGTGGTGGCTAGCTCGTTCTTGGCATTTGCCGTTTGCACTACATCTGGCACTTGTGTGCACATGGCGAACAACAGGCTGTGCCACACAGTGTGTAGTACGAAACAGATGAGTGGTCGCAATGGATTAGAACATAACGTAAAGATGAATTAGAATATATAGTACAGATGAGTGGTCGCATTAGATTAGACCATAAAGTAAGCGTGTGTACGCAGATGTATACGAGGTAAAGAATAGGATATGACTGGGTGGTCTGAAGGCTCACAGCGACAATTGCCTTCGTTTGAACTACAAAAGTGACTTGACTTGTGTGCACCTTGCAGATAACATGCTGTGACAGGGTCTGCGGATGTTGTTACTCGTTCTTTTTGAACTCTGGCATTCTACAATCCATACATGTACATATACATATACCTACGCATATACATGATACCGATTGCATCCCATACCGGCTTGCTATGTACACACACGGTACAAGACACACGTATATTCATATGACACACATGTACATGTGGGTTCTATGTCGTATATATCCACACCCGGTGAGCCTGGCTGTACGTTCAGCCTGCGCTGAGTCCAATTGTGGGCGCCGTTTCTCTCTGTTCGATCTGTGGCGTTCTACATTGACATTGACCTTCCCTTGACCAACATCCCGAAGATCGGAGTTGGAGACATCCATCCCCATGTTCTTGTACGTCCACAGATTACTAGTGTCGGTATTATCCTGCGAGTGTATCTATGAAGTTAGCACGGGCTATGGAAAATATTTATGAGCTCAGTGAGATCGATATATATATATACATACATGCATGCATGCATGCATACATACATACATACAAATATATATACATTCATACATACATACATACATACATACATACATATATATATATATATATATATATAGTACGACCTAACCCTTACCTTATCGACGACGACGACG